TGCCGAGCTGATGAAGTTGATGACATGATTGCCCTGTTCATTAACAAGCTGAAGTTGCTAGTGTTTCCTCAGACACAAGATCCCAGCAAAGCCAGGGAGGGTCAGGCTGGTGTTCCCAACACCTCTACATGAGTGGGGGGAACACAACTAAAAGTATTCTTTCTCTAGACATCAGAAAGCAACAAGTGGAGACAAACACCTTAAAACCATGGGGGAAAATAGTCATCTAAAACCTTAAAATCCAATCTGATTTAAAATCTTCCCATTCTGACAGTTGCAGTTGGCAGCAGATTGATTATTTCCCTTTGAAAGATAAAAACATTCCACTGAGATAATTTGATTTTCCCAGACTTTGTGAATATTAATAAGGCCATTATTTCATTGCTACTGTAACAGCTCTCATTGATGGAAGGGGCAGTCAAAGCTCCCCACAAAGGTGTGCCATCCAGCTGGAGCTCAGGGGGCTCGAAACACTGCCCTAAAAACTGACCCTGGAGAATAAGACATTGTGCAGGGATTCCAAGGCGTAACAGGAGTCACTTCTGTTTTAGAGTCATAACCCAAGAAATAACAAAAAATAAAACCTGCAAGAAAACACTCTGTGTTCTACTGAGGCCTCACAGTTCACTATTTTTACTTGGCAATAAAAGCTTTTTTTTCTCTTTCATTCCTAACGCAGATTGATAGTCACACAATTTTCCTCCTACTTCATGCAGAAGCAATCCTGAACACCTCAAGACAATTCACCTGGGAGCTCTATGTCGCTTCACATTTCCCAGCCAACAACAGACCAAGAACTATCTCCTTGCTCCCAAACTATCTGGAAGCCAAAGGACATTTTCAGATTGGACTCTGCGTTGTTAGTTTTTTTGTCTGAATTTCACAGTTACTATAGAAACCTGTCAGCATAAAAAAAAAAACCAAGAAAGCATCTTTCAAAAGATGAACAGATAAAAACTTCCAGGAGTGCTGTGGGTGATTATCTGAGATCAGAGAGATGGAGACCGTGGTTTTATCCTGGACAGCAACTCAAGGGCTACACACACAGAGCAAACGTGCCATGAACTTGGCAGCACCATCCCTGCACACACTCCTGCTCAACAGCACTGCTTGGCTTCTGACACTCCTCCAGCAGCTCCCCTCCAGACACAGGCCCAGTGCTGGGCACTGCACAGGACACCCAATAGAACTGAGAAAATCACTTGATCCCTTGTTGAACTCACCTAGATGGGAACACAGAACATGGAAATGAAGATACCTGCTTTACTATAGCAGGCACGTAGCTGATTGTTCTCCTCCTTATAATATATATATATATATATATTCCAAAAAATCACATTTTATATAAGGCAACTCAGCTTGTGACCACCTCCCTTAGAGCTTTAATGGGTATATTTGGGAAGAGAAAGGGTCTTGCACCTCAGAGAAACACTGAAGATCAGTGGGAATGTATTTTAATCAATGGAGGGTGCAGATAAAAGTCACCAGTGGCAGTAATCAAGGACAGCCACGGATTTTTTCCAAGTCATGCTGCATCATGCCCTTAAAATCCACACACTCCTCTGTACGAGTCCATGCACAGAGCAGCGAGAAAACCCGAGGAGCCAATCTGCTGCTTCAGAATTTGGATCAAATGCAAAGGACAGGACGTGCAGGGGAAAAGGGTCAGTGTGTGGGGCGAGCAGAGGCAGGGACAGATCCCTGCATTTCATCAGCACCTCCTGCAGCTCAGCTTGGCCAGGGCACAGCACAGCTCCAGGCAGCTCTGCTGACCCGCGTTTGACACTGTCTGGCACGTCAGCACACCCCTCCTGAAACCTCTGCTCAGCATGGAGGAATTAAAGACAAACTCCTACAGAACCCAATGGAAACCCGAGATTAATGAACTAACTGGCCCTTCACGACATTTGCATATGCATTTCCCCGAGGTCGGTGCAGGCAAGCGAGACACAAGGAAACATCTTTATTCTCTCTGCATGCTGGCCCCGGGCCAGGCTGGTGGCTTCTGTATACAGCTTCTGGTAAGTGCAGTTTAACTTCCAAACACAACAGTCTCTTCCAGCAGAGTGATGTATGAGCTCCCTTAAAAAGCAGGATTCACTGCTGCAGGATCTAGAAGGGAAGTGGTATCTACTCATCACAGTACGTTGGTTACTCTTACTTTGGGCAGCAAGCCAGAAAGAAAAAGGGGGGCATTGCTTAGACCAGGTTCAGCTACCTCAGACTGACTTTCCTTTGCCTGTCTGTAAATTCAAGTAATCAAAAGATTTAAGTAGCAATGTCTCTAGAAGGACTGTAGGCTTTGGTACCCCCAAAACAGCGAGTACCAGAGAACCAGAAAGCACCCAGGACAGCCCAGGTCTGACCGCAGTGCTGCTGCTTGTTTTCCTCTCCTGCAAATATTTATATTAGCCCTTCTGAAGGGAGGCTGCTGTTCCCCTGCCAGGGGCTTGCATCACATATAATTATGTCCCAGTCTCTTATAACAAGGATCCCGAATCCTCCTAAGCGTGTAACTAATAGCATTTACAGAGGTTTTCTTTTTCAGAACACCCCCATGTATATATAAAATACACTTGAATGGGCCATCAACCAGGCAATTCACTTTTGCTATTGTTACACCGACAAAAAGCAGCAGCAGCAGCACAGCCAATTGTTGCAGATCAAAGCAGCCCTACCGTTCTCAAAGCTCCAAGTAAATGAAACCATAACTCTGCAGAGGGAACCAGCCCAGCCACGTGGCTGTCCCTGCCATGGTCACCCTGCCACCAGTTGCAGGCACAACATTCATTTTGCCCATTTCCCAACGTGACTCAGAGGGCTTGAAGCCAAGCCAAATATCTTGCCCCAGACCATTTTAACACCAACTGCTGAATGCAAAACTAACAAACGCCCGGTATTTAAATGGACACTCCTGCATCCGAGAGGGCCAAAGTGTTCGGGAGATGACCTGGCAATGCTCTCATCCAGGAGTTTCAGGTGCACAGCCTCTAATATTTCAACTCATCATTAGAGAAGCATTGGGTTACAACACCTTGTCTTTGGAAACCAGGCCTCCCCCAGATGCCAGTCCTCACTTCAGCCCTAAATTAATCATCACTGACACATTAAAGTAACTCTGATACCACTCAGCTCCACTACGCAGTTCTCACAGTCAGGTCTCCTCTACTCTAACCAAGAGCTATTTCCAGAATTACTGTGCTCTTTTTGCCTTATCCTTCAGGGGTCAGAGAGCAGAAGAACAAATCACCTCCAGAAAACACACTTTTTTCCCTACTTTTCAAAGCAACATGACATGGCTGATCTTATTTCTTCCCTTCAGTTCCCTTTAAACCACCCAGAGCTCCACTCAAAGAACACGCCTAGAAAAAATTCCGTTCACTCCTCATGCAGAATCCCTCCTCTTCAGTCTGTTGCAAGCTTTTGTCATCATCTGCCCTCCAAATGGTGGAAACAAAATAAAAAAAAATTAATCTCCTCAGCGTATTGCTACACTGAGAGCTTCCAGAGGAACACAAAAACCAGGCTTCGTGAAAGACAACAGCACAACTAGCCATGAAGTCCTGTCACACATGCAAATACAAATGCATTGGGAAACTCGCCCTGACAAAACTGAATTCAGGTCTAACAGGCCTTTTTTTTTTTTTTTTAATCATTGTTCCAAATGCTTTTCTTGATTAGATCTTGAGCATCGTGCCCCCTTACACTCCGATGCTAAGTCATTATTGAAACCCTGCCTCTTTACGACATGGCAATGCCAGGAGAGCAACGAAGGTGAGCATACACCATTGTCATCACGAGGCACTTCGATTTGTTCCTTTTCACTGTTTTAACGGCCTCGAACCAGCTCCTGCACTTCGAATCAAGCAGAAGCAGAGCCAAAGCACACTCGCAATCCGCATGCAAGGCATTAGTCATGCGGGTCAGCTCCTGGATTAGACCTTGCCAGGAGGGCTCTGGCATTCCAGCAGCGCTAGGAATTGTTGGGGGGCGGCACTGCCCAGCTACACAGCTCTGAACTCCCGCACATCACGGGGCGACGCCTCGAGAAGCCCCAGGTGAGAGCCGTGGCCATCCAGGGCGCGGGGTTGACATTCTTCTCCAGGGCTGCCACACCTACACCAGCGAGCAGCCCGGCCGCCTTTTGTGCTGCCACACATTCCTCGCTGGTTTACGAGTTCCCTCTCCGGGGTTCAGCCTCACAGTCCGCGGCCGGGGCGCGGCGTCCCCACGCGGGCTGCGGCCGCGGGGCCGTGCCGGGCAGGTGGAGGGCAGGCGGCCGCTCCGCAGTCCCCCGCCTCGCCCCTCCCTGCGGCCGCTGCATTCACCATGAGTAAGATTCCAAGTATCCGCGCTCCCCTCCTCCCCCGCGCTCCCACGCCCAGCCCCGCAGTGCCGGGCCGGCCGGGGGAACCGTGCCCGGGACAATGCGGCGCGGGAGGGGCGGGCTGCGCGCCGGGCACGGCAGCCGGATCGGCGCGGACCCCGTGCCCGGTCCCCTCGGGGCTCGGCCGGTAGCGGCGGGTTCCGCGGGGCCTCGGGCTCGGCCGGTACCCCCGGGCTCGGCCGGTACCGGCTCGCCCCCCGCTCCCCCCGCGACGCGGCCGTTGCCAGGCGGCGGCGGCGGCCTCGCCCCCGGGCGGCCCATGTGCGAGGCGGCGGCCGGGGCGGTGCTTCCCCCTCCCGCCATTAGCATAACACAGACAGGAGGAGGAGGAAAAGAGAAGAAATTACAATTTAAAAAAAAAAAAAAAAGAAAAGAAAAGAAAGAAAGGGGAGGGGGAGCTCTTTTTCCCGCATGAGCTGCGGCGGGGCCGCGGGGAGCGGGGCCGCGCCCGAGCGCGGCGGAGGGGAGGGAGCGATGCCGCAGGAGGCGGCCGAGGGTCGGCAGACAAAGGGAACCTCCCGGCGGGGCAGCGGGGCTCGGGAAGCGGAGAGGCTCGGGCGGAGGCTCCCCAGCCCGGCCGCCGCCCTCCCGGCCCCGGGGCGGGGACACTCACCAGCCGAGCCGGACGAGGACCCTCTTCTGCGGGGCGCGGCGGCGGGCTCGGGCTTGGGCGGCTGGGGCTGCGCGGGCCGGACGGGGGCCGGGGGCTGCTCCTGCGGGGGGGACGGCGTGGTGTCGGAGGAGGAAGAGGAGGACACGGCTCCTCGGGGGCTCCAGTCGGGCTGCGGCGGCTCCGGAGCGGCGGGGCGGGGCGGCTCGGCGGGACCGCCGAGGTCCAGCAGCTGCGGCGGCCGTTCCTGCGGGGCTGCGGCGGGAGCCGCGACGGGCTTCCTCTCCATCACCTCCAGCTGCTCGTCGAAGTCTTCGTCCTCGTCTTCCTCTTCCTCCTCTTCTTCCTCCTCCTCCTTCTCGTCGTCGAGCACAAACTGGTAGTTAAACTGCGGCTGCTGCGGCCGGGCCGGCCCGGAGGAGGAGGAGACCAGGGGCGACTGGTCCAGCTCGTCCATGGTGCCTGGAGCGGGCGGAACAATGAGCGGCGCGGAGGGGGAGGCGCGGGCTGCGCTGCCGCCGCCGCTGCGGGACCCGCACTCCGCCCTGTGAGTCACCGCGGGCGCGGCCGGCCCGCCCCCCGCGCGAGCGACGGCGGCGCCGCCCAATGGGAGCGGCGGGGGCAGCGCGGCCGCCAATGGCGAGCGGCCCCTCATGAATATTCATCGCGCGTGGCGCGAGCCCGCGGGCCGGGCCGCCCAACTCGGGGAAAGTTGGGCGCGGGCGGGGCGGGGGCGCGGCCCGAGGGGGTCCCACCCGCCCGAGGGGTCCCACCCGCCCCAGGGGGTCCCGATCCTTCTGCTGTCTCTGAACGGCGGCCAGGAGCACTCAGAGACTTCAGGAAGGGGAGAGGATGGCCGGGCTCTGGGGACGGAAGGAGCGGGGCCCCGAGCCACCCACCCCCGGGTTCGCTCACCCTGCGTGTGACCGAAGGCGTCCCGGGCGTCTCCGCACTGCGGGGCCGAAGCAGGGGAAGGCGCCATTCCCATCCCGATCCCGCCGCTCGGGCGTCGCGCCGATCACCGAGGACAGGAACGACCCCTGGGGTGGGAGGGCAGTGGGAGTTTAACCAAACCATGATGCAAAAACCTTCCCGAGTCTGGGAAAAAAAAAAAAAAAAAAAAAAAAAGGAGACATTGTCAGAAGAGACTAAGTTGTTCAACCACCCGTGTTAGTGTAGGTCCTCCCCCGAGCAGATCTCATCATCTCCTAAAGTCTGCATTTAAATTGTGCAACTTCTGTGGGAAAGAATGGAAGGGAAAGAAAAAAGGAAAGGGAAGCAGAAAATAAAGGAGAGGAAAGACAGAAGGAAAAGAGGAAGTGAAAGGAAAATGGAAAGAGGAATGAAAAAAGGAAGGGAAAGAAGAGAAAGGGAAAGAGGAACTGAAAGGAATAATGAAAGAGGAAAGGAAAAAGGAAAGAGCAATGGAAAGAGGAGAGGGAGAAGAGAAGAAAACTTGGCTCCTGCCAAGTTGGCTCCTGTCAGACTGGTGTGGTCTCCAGCTTTCTGCTCAGAGATGGAACATTGGCCAAAGCCCTGGGGGTAACACTTAATTTAACTAAAATAGCATCTCTTTGGGTGCAGTTTCCACCCACACAGCTGCCATGATAAGACCAAAAGGCCTTATAATGCTATATTTAACACTACTCCAACATTATTACCGCTTTTTAACCCACAGATGATTTATTCTCCCACATATGCCTGGATAAAGAGATTAGTTCATGGAAGCCTTCAGAGCAAGCAGCTGCATGTTCAGTGAGACACGAGAAGGGAAGGAGAAGCAGCTCTGCTGTCACTTCCCCTCTGCCATGAAGGATGCAAAGGATGCAGGGATGGGAAGAGACTGGCCTGGAATTGGGGGTCAATCTACAGTATTGGGAAAGCCCTTCTAAAATTCCTCAGCTTCTAAAGAACCAGAGACCTCCTTCCAACTTCCACTCTTAATTTGCTCAAGGCCCATGTCCATCCTCTTACCCCTTCTCCCATTCACTTAAACTGTTCTTTTCTCTCAATTTTCATTTCTAAGAATACACTTTGTGCAGCCCTTGCTGTCCTAAGCCAAGGCTGGAGAAGCTGTGCTGTCACCCTTTCCCTGCACCCAATCCACTTGAGTTCAGGCACAGGAAATTCCACATGAGATTTTCTTTTTTTTCCAGGAATGTACAAAGACATCAATATTCCCTATCTCTACCAGCAATGACTAGAAGGAATGTGCAGAGTATTTTTATAAACACAGTGATGGCAATGCCGTTATCCCTGTGGGACAAACGTTTCCCAGCAGGTGAATAAGCACTTGACAATCTGTGAGGTCTTTCTGCCCCTCAGATTCTGCGTGTTCTACTGACAAATTCTCCATTTCTAGTTTCAAGTCAGCCCTTTGTACAGCGATATAAGGGATGCCACAGCAGCAGCAGCAGGATGGATGGATGGCAAATAAAAATATTCTGACTGAATAAAGTCTTTATAATTTCGCCAGCCAATCTACTTTTTGCGTGTCTCGGTTAAACAAGAAAATGGATTTTTAAAATTCCATTAAAATATACCCTAAGGCAACAAAGTACCTTTAAAAACTTGGGAAATTCTGAGCTAGACACAGCACTGAAATTGATTTTAAAATACCTCACCGTGGGGATTTTTGGTCATCTGCAAGGTAAAGTCTATATATAATTTGGTTGATTTTATCAGAAAACTTGGAAGAGTTTCTATCATCAATTAAGGACAAATGAAAGGGGTTTTATTTAGAGACAGGAAGTGACTAAAGGTCTTGGAGGGAAACAGGAAGGGAGTTCCAGATTCCCTGAGCAAGTCAAATTAACAAGGGAGAGCAAAACACGCTCTCCAGCAGTGACACTACTGCAAAACCCCCTCTCTTTTAGCTCCTTGCAGAAGTATTTTACAGTCCTGATACGAAAATTGTCAACAAGTAGGAGTAATTTGCAGATCCTCGGCAATTTAATTTACAAGCTATTTTCCTATAGCAGAGTTGGGAAGCAAGGCACTCCACGGGTGTTTCGGAATTTCCACTGCAGTGCTGCCAAGGGCCACGTGGATTGTTTTCTGTCCACTCTGACCTTCAGCTTGATCTTACACAGAAATGATACAATATCACAGCATATTCTAGACTAGGATAATAACTGAGATGAGCCAAGTGCAGTATTATCACTTCACAGCAGGATCCAACAGAAAAGAAATCCCACATTTAGTCTCAGACGGCAGTTTGAAAGGCTGGGTTAAAACTGCAAGGGTGGCTGGATTTCTGTCCCTCCCTTTAAGCTGGGAGGACAATCCCCCAGGTGTCAGGCACCTGTAAATGTTTGTTTTCAGCTCATGCCTGCGCTGCAGAGCCCTGGCTATTGAGCATGTCTGCCTGGCAGGTTTGTCTCTGCTCCAACCCCTGAAGGATTTCTGTTCAAGAAGCAGCAGTGGGATGGTGGGACCAAATCACTTGGTTGGTCACCACAGACGCAGATGTGGATGGCAAAGGTAAACAAGAGAATGAAGGGACTGTTCACTTACCAGTCTGGCCATCCTGCTGCTTACTCCTGAGGAACAGGAGGATCACCAGCTCCCCTGGACCTAGACACAAAAATGCATTCTGTTAACACCTCTTGCAAACCGCTCCAGGTTGTATTAACTGCTGTTCCTGACTCATGTTCTCCCCTCCTTTTTTCATTTGCAATCAATATCAAGTTTAGACCCTGGCATTCTGAAATCTGTGGCCATGGACATGCCTGAATTCGAACTTCCAGGGGGTTTAGGGTTTTATTTTACCTCTGTTCTGTGAATACTCTCACTGTAATTAAAAGTCTGTAATGAGATGTTTGTTCCCTGTGTGCCTGGGGCTTCAGTGGAGGGAAGGAAGTCCACTGATGGTCAGGAACTTTGGGGTCTTTCTGACTGACAAATCTGCGATGTTCAGTTCCCAGGGAGTGAAGCGAGGAGGATCCACTCATTACATCCCAAATTAGAGCATGGACAGAGCAGCTGTACAATTTACAGGTGTAGGTGACTAGAACTTACACCTCCAACAGCAAGAATGAACTAGGAAATGGTGGCATTTTACCTACATTATTTTAAGAGCTTTTTAAAAAACTTAGGGATTTGTTGCAGTTACAACAATTTGGAATTTAAATTGGTTTGCTTTGCAAAGGGAAAAGTGCATATAATTTAAATTAGAAATCAATTTTTGCTCTTTTTTCAGCATCCATATTGACCCGGTCAGGAAAGAAACAGCCCAGTAACAACATCCAGGGTTATTCCCTTGGCTGCCAAATGGGCCTGAGGAGAAAACTGATGGATGGCAGCAACATTTGACCACTCCTGATGGCGTCACTGCTGGAGCTGTGGCACTTACACACACAGCTACGTGTGCACAGGCAGCAGCAGCACTGACCTGAACTGGGTGGTGTCTGGAAGGTCCAGCTGCCCCCTTTGCAGCACTTTGGGAAGCAGCAGAACTTGGTGGCTGCCCGTTCCTTTGGGAGCCAGCGAGTGCTTTTGGAAGCCTGTCTGACATTTACCCAGCTGGCAAAAGCAAAGAGGAGGGTGAGAGGTGTGAGAACCACTGAAGATCCTCCAGCACAGAGATGCAAACAATGTAGGACCTGAAGCTACAGGAAAGCTGAATTTGCTGGTTTTACTGGTTTGGGAACTAGTTTGTGAGGGCTGTAGACAGGGATGTGTTTTAGGTGAGTCATGCCAGTGGAAATCTGCAGGCTACCTGTGTGCAAACAGAGTTTTGGCAAGGGAAAAAAGGGAGATAAATCTCACAGGATGAATTCTCCCTGACATATCCTGTGAAAAGGAGCAGCAACAAAAGGGAAAGATCTTGAGAAAACAGCACATGAAAAAGAAGTTACCTAGGGCTACCTTAGTCCCCAAAGGGAATCAAAGTTCACCAGACTTCTAGGGCATAATGTTTGGCAGGTATCACTTATTCTAAACTATTTTCACATGCATTTTTTGCAGTGCAAATACAGATTTTACTCTTCCCATTGTAACTTGTAAAGAGCTAGCATATTTCAGTAAAAACTAACTACCTGAACACCATGTAAATCTGCTCAAATTGCTACATCAGCACAGGCTCTTAGCTAAGATTCACTGGGTTTATTCCATCAGGTAGAATCAGGTTGCTAAGAAGTGCAAGTTTTAATATATGAGCCTGGAAATAACTAGAACTTGACCATATCCTGGGTAGAAATGCCTGGATAAACTGGAAAAAATCCAATCAGTCTGACTTTACGGTTAATTAGCTGTGTGTTATTTGTTTCTCATCCAACTTTGCCCACATTAAGTTTCAAAAATAAAAGCAGATTTTTGAACTAGCAGTCTTTAAGAGTTATCCAAGTAAACTGATCCAACAGAGTTCTTGTAAATGACTGCTGCTTAAAGGACTAAAATCATAGAATCATCGAACGGTTTGGGTTGAAGGGGACCTTCAAAGCACCCAGTTCCACCCCCTGCCATGGGCACAGACACCTTCCACTGGACAGGGTTGCTCCACTTCTTTCGTCCCCTTAAAACCCCTTCCCATGGCACTGCAGAATGCT